CGCTCAGACAGGGCCGCCTTGAGGCTGGGGGTGTGTTGATAAGGCGGGGGGATAGTGCAAAGGTGTGTGGGTGGGCGGGTCGTTGGTCGGTGCAGGCAAGCATTTCTGTGGGTGGGATGAAAGGTGTGAAGGGGTGCGGGGACCAGACCTACAACTGCAGAGTGGTGGGCGGGCAAGGTGGTGGGCGGGCAGACTGGGGTGCCCGTTACCGTCAGCGCGTGCAGCGCGCCCAACACAGCGCTCTGGAGGCGGCGGCAGCTCTGTTAAGCGGCGGCCCTGCGACACGTTTCATACAGGGTCATTCCCATCTCCTCCAAGGCTCAGGCTGCTGCCGCGACCTTGAAGCCTTGCGTTCCTGACTTGATCGCGTCCATCCCTCGTGGCCCCCTATCATGCACCCGTCCCCTGTTTCCCAATGACCCATAACCCCACCGTGATCGCGTGAGCCCCATGGATGCCTCCACAAGGTCCTTCACGATCTCATCTACATCACGCCTGGGGGAGGGGGGACGAGGAGCGGAGTTAACGGGGTCAGGGCGCGGAAGGGTGACTCGCCACATGCACGAACCCACGCGTGCAGAAATGCATACGCTCACGCACACTCACACACACACGCACACGCTCACGCACACTCACACACACACACGAACACGCACACACATAAATGCCGAACTGAGTGCTGCAATTGATTGTCACAGCTGCATGCCGTGTGTGCGTGTGTCTCACCCCACGTAGCCGAGCTCAGTGAACTTTGTGGCCTCCACCTTGACAAAGGGCGCGTCAACAAGCCTGCCAGGGTGTTGAAGCGTTGCGGACTGGCTTGGCGTGGGGTGGGTGAGAAGGAGGGGGGGCACCCACAGTGCCGCACCCTACGACGCTGGCAGGGCGTCGCCCGCCCACCTGACCCCAAAACTCCTGGCCTTCAGCTTTCCGCAATACTTCCCATGCATGTGGGAACAGGTGCTGACATGCACGTGCACGCACACGTGCACACTTTGTGTGCACGCACGCGTGCACTACACAACTCGCATCCCTGAGTTGACCGTCGAAGCCAAAAGACCAGCCTCACACACATCTCACGCCTCCTCTCATCCCCAGCAACGCACTCACTTGGCCAGTCGCCGCGCGATCTCCGTCTTGCCGCAGCCCGTGGGCCCGATCATCAGTATGTTGCGCGGCACCACCTCCCGCGCCGCGTCCGCCTCCAGCTGGTGGCGCCGCCACCGGTTGCGCAGCGCGACAGCCACGGCGCGCTTGGCCTCCTGGCGATGCAGGCGCCGAAAGTCAGGGCAGATTGGGGCGCAGGTGTGTGCGTTCAGTGGCGCGGCTTGCTGCGCAGGGGTTGTCTGGGGGCAACCGTGGAATGCGCGGCAGCGCTGCCAGCTGGCGGCAGGCCGAACACTGCAACGCTCGCGCCCCCCAGCACCAAAGAAGCTGTACACCCAGGGGCGACGGTAAGCCGCCGACCCGCCCGCTGGCTGCACAAAAGAGCCGCGCCGATAGGCATGTACTTGAATCTGGGACAGATTGTCGAAACGTACACGCAGCAGCAGCAGCAGTAGCGGCAGTTTCCCCTCACCTTCTGCCCCACAATGTAGGAGTCCAGACGCTCCACAATCTCACGCGGCGTCAGCGTCCGCGCCGCCGCCGCCGCACCACCCAGCGCAGATGCCAGCGGGTCGACCACCGCCGCCGCTGCGGCTGCGCCGCCATTGCTTTGCTTCGTCGACCGGCCGCCGCTGCCGCGATCCTTGCCGCCGCCGCTGCTGCCGGTTTTGGCAGTGGGGTCATCCTCGACGCTGCTGCTGCTGCTGCTGCTGCTGCTGCTGCTGCTGCTGCTGCTGCTGCTGCTGCTGCTGCTGCTGCCGCTGCTGCTGCTGCCGCTCGCAATGGCTGGAGCAACACCGCCTGACAGGAGCGACAGCGGGGTGCCGCTGCGCCAAGCAGCCGCCACAGGCACAGGCTGCGCCGCCCAGCCGCCGTTGCTGCCGCTGCTGCTGCTGATGATGCCGCCAGCCCAGCGCCCACCAGTGGTTTCGGAGGGTCCGCGGCCGCAGCCGCACGGGTCGCAGCGGCAGGCGGTGCCCGGCCAGGGGCCCTGAGTGGCTGTTGCGAAACGGTCCTCTTCGACTTGGGATGGGCCTGCAGCTGCGGCCGCTGGCGGCGGGTCAAGACCCGCGGCTGCGCCCCGAGCGCTACCGTCTGCCAAGCCGCGCAGCAGTGCGGAGGCGGCCGCGGCCGCGGCTGCGCCAAGCTGCTGCTGGGCCGCGGATGGCGCGCTCCGCTGCGCCCACGCCACAGCCGCTGACGCCAGTGAGGCGCCGCTCGCACACACCATGGAGTGCTAGTCGGGCCTAAGGAGGAGCATGAGGTGTTGTGTCAGCCCAGCGGCGACGAGGGCACGCGCGTGTGCGGCTTGGGCTGGCGTGCGCGCTGCAGTGGTCACATCGCGTCGCTTCGAAAGTGTGTGGTGAGAGCCCTCGCGCCAAGTCGCAGAGCAACACCGCGCAATGCGTGCATAATTTTAGTGGGAACGCCGTAACTCACGCTCGCGAATGGCTCCAAAACCTTTGTATAGATCAAAACTGTAGATCAGCGCAGTGAAGCTAGCCTGGTAGCCCCCTGCGTATGTGCTAAAAACGAGAGCTGTGAAGTGCGCTCGCAATCCCCGTTGTCGACATATTGCACGGAATTGAACCACCGGCAGCGACACACACTCCTGGAGGAGGCTGTTCCGGCCAGGTGACTGGCGCCATGCATGCGGGCAGTGCCCAATTTTGCGCGGTTTTGGTACTTGAGCCTGATAGTTGTAGTACCTTTCTGGGTACATTTTGTCGCAGATAAGGCATGCCTGAACAGTGGCCCATCGTTGTGACGCGAGCAGGGTGGGCCGGGGTACGGCGCCCCCCAGCCCTCGTATGCATGCTTGGGCACGCGGGCAGCGTCGGCAGAGGCATACATATGCATGTAAGAAGCCGGTGGTGCCGGCATGCGCTCAAGCAGATAGGGCGCCAGCTACGCAAGGGTTGAAGCTAGCATCAAGCAACATGCACACAGCAGCAACACAGCGCGGGGGGGCACGGATGCTCACACACCCACATGCGCGCGTGCAGCATCGAATCCGGCATGCACGCAGGCGACAGCGTGCTCATGCAGAGATAATCCAGGCGCCAGCCATGCGTGCGTGGAAGGGTTGAATACCGCATGATGCAACACAGCAGCGCGCCCGCAGGCCCGCAAGCGAGCGCGCCCATTCACCCTAGGGGCGCTCCTGTAGACGGGTGTTCGCAGGCACAACAGGGCAGCTGATTATGCATCCAGCAGTTGCCATATGGCCCCGTGACGACTCCCTGCAGCCGCCAGCAGTGGCCCTGTCCGCGCTCGGTCCCGCGCCTGCGCCGCCCCTGCTGCTGGGTGCCGCGGCTGCCACCGCCGCCACCACCCTCACGCTGTTGCTGCTGCAAAGCACCGCTGGCGCCACGGCCGCGCCTCGGGGCGGTAGCGCCTCCCGCTTGCGAGCTGCATGCCGCAGCCGCCACGCCTTCCGACCCAGCCTCAGTGTGTTTGTGGTGATCTTCAGCTGCTCCTGTGCCTTTGTCGCTCCTGGTGCTGTTTGAGGCCCAATTTTGTACATTGGTATTGCACTCGCTCTGCTGTAATCATGCCCTCAATTCTATGCTGAAGATGCCATTGCTTTCTAGTGAGTGCAACGCTTCATGTCGCTGTCTGAGCCACGTGACCAGCTGCAGTAGGGACCCTCTGTGCGTGTGTGCCCGTGTGAAAGGGACCGGCTGCGCTCCGCCAGCGGGGAGCTGGGCTGCGAGACGTGGCGCTCAGGATGCTTATTGTCACCGCCGTAAGTGCATAAGCCACTGTGCACGCAGAAGCAGCCTGACAAGCGAGGAGCACTGGCTGCGCAGTGGCGGCGTGTCCACCAGTGCGACCGATGTTCGAGCGTGCTTTGCCAAGCTCGTTCTGACGAGGCGCAGGCATCAACCACTGCTCAGGCGGGAGCAGGGACAACAAAGCAATCACGCAGTGGATACATTAGTGGACACATTGATACCGAAGCAAATAAGCAGACTTGCAGCTCTTGGTTTCGGCAAGGAAGAGGCTGCAATCTGGCTTGCCGGCGCCCCCTCCCGCCTACTCACCCGCGGCGCCACGGGGAGGCTGGGTTTAGGGTTTAGTCCCTTGGAGGCGGCTGCACGGTGCACCCCGCACTCACTTTGCGGCGCCAAAGTTACCGGCTGGCGGGCTGCTGGAGAGAGTGGGCTGCGGCCCCTTATGAGGATCGGTCAACCGTCAGACAGCACACAGCCTTGCAGCCATCCTTTTCGCCCCCGCTCGACTCCAGGGGCGCTGAGCAGTATCGCTGCACCTGCAGGGGGTGCAGCACCGCTGCGAACGCCCGTCCACCCCCCACCCCCATGCGGGCGCGGGGCTGCCTGGGATGGCAGGGGCCGGGTTCCGGGCGCACCCAGGGTCCCGCAGCCCGTGTTGTGGGCGGTTTGTTCAGAAGGGCAAACATCACTGGAGGACACGTCAAAAACCGATTGCTCATATGAGAGGGACGGAGGACGTGTGTTGCTGATTATAAAGCGTGATCAATTAATTATTTTGTACGTGCGAGTGGGCATTTGAGGCAGTGAGGAGGTCAGGTGACAGTTGTGTTGCTGCATTCATGCACGTCCACCTGCCTTCATTGTTGCATTGATTTGATAATCGCAACATTGTCACCTGTATGTGCTCATCAGACTCACTTGTGTATGCAAGCTCGCACACGCTTGGTTTCAAAGCGGGCGGGCAAGCAGGTGGGTTTGACCTCGGCGTGGAATCGGGCGGCGGCTCTTAGGAAGCCGCCGCCCGTTCGCGGCGGCTTCCCAGCATTGTGCTAGCAGCGGGGTCGCTGGTTGCGGGAGGTCTGGAGGGCGAGCGGCGCTGGCAGGGTCACGGTGCCCCAGGGGGGGGTGGCAGGCAGGGTGACTCCCTGGTTGATGCAAGCATGCACAGAATCATGTGGTTCGGCGCTATGATTTGGTACGGCGCACATGTATGATTCAGACCTGGCCTGGGGTTGATGAGTCCCTGCTGGACCCAGAAGGCAGCCGGGTCAGCAGGCGGCTGCTGCTGCCACCGTGACAAGAATGAAGTTGAAACCAACTCAATCATCTGAGAAAGGTCAGCTTTCTAGAGTGTGGAGACTGTGCTAGTAAACGTTTGGAACGGGAGTGTAGATATACCAGATGTCCACCCCAGCGCAAGGCAGTTGGGTGTGCTGATGTGTGGCACTGCGCTCCATGCACGTCTACGCTCTGCCATGGCAAATGCCGCCTGCTAGCCCGATATGTCATGTCGACTATCAAAGCGCAAAACTCACAATCTGAAATCGCATTGCTCTTAATGCCAGTTCCCACTTCTGCCAATCATGTGACGCCGCGTACCCAGATCTGAACATTACAGAGCATGACACTGCATAACAACCAGGGTAGCACATTCCCACGTGACCAGTGGCCAGTGGGTATGTGATCCAGCACCAAACGCCACAAAGCGATTGGGCAGATGTCAACAACAAATAATGGCAACCCAGCATGGCCGTGGGGCCCTGCTGTTGGCAACTGGGTGCGCAGCAGGAAGCAAACTGTCAATGGTAGGAAACAGTTCGTGCACGCACACAGATGAAAAACTCAACGCAATTGAAATCAGCATAATAGCCGTCCTTGTCTGTTCCATACTTGGCAGCACAGCGGCTTCGTGTCCACACATCCTGTACACTATGGCTTGACCTTTGGGGCCGATCACCAGGGACAACAGACCGTTTTTCCACTTGTATACACCACCTCTGGGGGCCGCGGGCCCCAACAGCACAAACGCAAGCCAACGCCACCTGAAGCCCCGCTCATGCACGACATCCACCAGCCAACAAAAGGCGCAACCTCCAACGCGCGCATGCCTCATCGGCTGCCGGGAACGCTGCTCGCGCCGCCGCCGCCGCCGCCGCCGCTGCTGCGCTGCAGTGCGTCCAGCACCTCGCGCGCCAGGTCTGCCTTCTCCACCAGCCCCGCAGCGCTGACGCCGCATGACGTCAGCAGCGCCCGCAGCTCGCGCGCCGGCAGCATCATCAGCTCCTCGAAGGTGCGCGGAGGCGGGCTGACCACTGAGGGTGCCGCATCTCGCGCGTTTTGCTGCGAAGAAGGCCCCGGCTGCCCCTGCTGCTGCTGCTGCTGCTGCTGCTGCTGCTGCTGGTCCTGCTGCTGCTGCTGCTCTCTCTGCTTTTGCGCCGCCTTGCAATCGGCCTTGTGGTGCGGCCAGTGAGACTGCCGAGGTGGGCAAGAGTGTGGGGCAGGAGCCGCGTAGTGAAAGGGTCAGTGCAACACACTGAGCAAGCGCATGTGTATGTGGGTGTGCCGGCCCTCGCAGGCAACTGGACACAGAACATGCCGGCAGGAAGGCTTTGTTTCTTGCGGACGTGCACAGTGGCTGCCCACCTTCTGGCAGTCCACCTTGTGGTGAGCACGACATGAAGGGGGCGGGGAGGAGGAGGGGCGTCAAGCCGGACGTGTGGTGCATGGCTGGATAACTGGTGCCCGCGTCGACAACGTGCGTATGACCTGGATGCATGCATGCACATACGTGTGCGCTCACACATGCAAAACAGGCGCAAAAACAAATGCAACACGCCCGCGCACTCGCCTGCCTGCGCCCATGCCAAGGGGACTCACGTTGCAGTAGTATATAGCGAGCGGCGGGCTGCAGCCATTGCAAGGCCGCAGCTTCACGCCCAGCGTTCCGCGCTGCTTCCCACATGCCGCGCACGCCCTACGGGGTTTTGCTGCACCCGGCGACCGTGCCGCCGCCGCCGCCGCCGGCGAATTTGAGGCCTCCCCCTGGCGTCCCCGCTGCTCGCCGCGTTGCTGCTGCAGCGCCGCCAGTTGCTGCGCCTGCTGCTGCCGCACCTGCACCAGCTGCTCCATCAGCTGCCGCTCGTCGGGGACCCCCCCTCGCTGCGCCTGCAGCACCTGCACCGCCGCCTGGTGCGCGAGGCCCACCTGGGCCAGCGTGTCAGCAGGCAGGCTGGGTGGCGGGCGCCCCATGAGGGCAAAGACCAGGTCCATGACCGGCCCGACCTGCGCCGCGCACGGCTCTGGCAGCGCGCGCCCTGCCGATTCAGAGTCCTTCACGAGCTGCGCCAGGCACAGGGCCAGCTTCACGCCGTAGTTCCACGCCAAACTCAGGTCCTCCGCGGACGCGCCGCTCAGCGCGTCCCCCTCCGGAGCTGCGCGGTTTTGGGGGGGGGGTACCCGGGCAGGGAGCTGTGGGACGAGTCGGGCCAGGGGCGCAGGCGGCTTGATAGCTTCCCCATCGCGTCTTCCTATGCGCCCTGAAGGTTTTTCGACTGTGACGCATCCACCGCCTTTGGCAGAGCCGCACACCGCATCGAGGCCATACTGGTGCAGGGCTCAATCCCCGTACGCGCGGAGGGGGGAGGCGAACCTGCGACGCGCAGCAGCGCATCAGGGAGCTCTGGCAGCGCCAGCGCCTGCAGCGCCGCGGTGCGGGGCGCGTCTGCCGCCAGGAGGAAGAAGAGTGCCCCGAGGCAGGGCACGCACTGGCTAAGCCGGTCGCGCCCGCGCCGCGAGAGGGCTGACAGCAGTCCGACGAGCGCCGTGACTGCGCCCGGCGTGGTGACGAGGATCTGGGCCGCGGCGGCCGCGTCGTGGCTGGGGTCGGCGGGGTCGAAGAGGTCGTAGATCACGCGCGCGGCGTGGGGCCCCGCCACATGGCCGCGGCTGCCCTGCTCCACCAGGCCCACCATGCCCCTGATCAGGCTCCGCCACGACAGGAACTGCTGCCGGCGCGCGGGGCAGCCCTCCATCGAGCAGGACAGCAACTGGCAAGCGCGCTCGGACATGTCTGGGTAGGGGCACATGTGCACGTTTGGGGAAATCGCCAGCCAGGTGGATTCGTCGAGGGTCCCATGGTGGCGCCTGCACGCGGCGCGCAGCCGCTGCAACGGGCCCGTCGGAGCGGCCCAGGGGCTGCTCTCGGAGCTTAGTACCACGGCTCCCAGGGCCGTTGTGAAGGCGTCATGAAATGCTGCAGCCATGACGTGCGCGGCCGCCACAACGGGGAGCAGCAGGAGATGCTGGCTTGCGCTGCTGCTGGTGGGGTGGCGCCGCAGTGAGCGCGGCGCGTCGCGGCAGAGTCGTGGTGCAAAATGTGCACAAGCTGGTCGAACCTCTTCCCGAAAATGTCTCTAGACCAATCACCCGACAACAGCCAGCAGTGAGCGGGGTGAATAACGAACACGCCCCTTCGCCGCCGTATCTAATCCGTTGAGACCTCAGTGGATAGAGCTGAGAGCCTGTACTGGAGCATTTACACCCGTCAGACTACTGGTCACCTCTCACTTGCTGGCATGTGGACTGCGTGCACGCCCATGAGCTCAGTGATCAGTCCCGACTGTCGGTGGGCGGGTGGGAGGGTGCTCAGGCGGCGGTGCTGGGCCACGGGTGAGGCTGCCTCAATTTTCTGCTTGTTGAAAGGAAAAGATCGCGCTGTGCGAAGGTTGCGTGTGCAGGCGCCGCGCGCCTGCGCGCTGCTTTGATCTCTCCTAGGCTTTGCTTGGGCACCCACACCTCTAAAGTAGGTCGGGGCCGGCCGGCGTTACTCGTGTTCAGGCTTGGAAACCTCTTCTGGGAATCCTATCCCATATGATGGTTGTGAATAGAGTGAAGTAGAGACTGAGCTGCATCCGCTTGCAAGGGTCCCGTGCTGCTTTCCAGACCGGTCAGCCAAAAGTCGCACATATCACACTGCTTGCCAGCCCGCCCACTGCACGGCGCAGCGCAGTGCGGCACGAAGTCGCACAGGCGAAAAACCCTCGATCCAGCATCATAAGTTTGCAAGGTAAAGGTCATTCGTTGTCCAACCCGCCCCACGCCTCTGCGATCGCGCTTTGCAAGCGGGTGCCGCCCCACGGCTCAATAATTAGCCCCTGCGCCGCGTGCTCAGATGCGAGCTTCGTCATCCCCGCCCGTGGCACACGCTCCCCGCCGCACCACTGCTCCTCCCACCACGCATCGTCCGGCACGACCAGGCGCCGCAGCCCGGGGTGCGCCGCCAGCGCAGCCACGTGCCCTAGGTCCATGGCCGCCGCCTTGATGGCCAGCTCGCGCAGCTGGGGCAGCGCCAGTGCGAGCCGCGTCACCGTGTCGGCGCTGAAGCGCATGTCTGGGGCATCCATCGAAAGGCGCATGAGGCTGATCAGGTGCGTCAGCCCTTGAAGGGCCTGCCAGGCATCGTACTTGGTGGTGGGGCCATCCGCTGGCGGCGGCTCCTGCTGCTGCTCCTTTTGCTGCTCCTGCTGCTGCTGCTGCTCCTGCTGCTGCTCCTTTTGCTGCTGGTGCTGCTGCTGCTGCTGCTGCTGCTGCTGCTGCTGCTGCTGCTGCTGCTGCTGCTCCTGCTGCTGCTGCTGCTGCGGCGGCTCCTGCTGCTGCTCTTGCTGCTGCCCCACATCCCCTGCCTGCCACGCCTCTGCCTCTAAGCACAGGTTGAGGTCTAGGGCTTCCAGCGACGACGGCAGCCGCGTCAGCAGCCGCGCCGCCCCTAGCATCCGCACATCGCACGCCAGCAGCCGCAGCCGCGGCGCGCAAGCGAGCGCCGCCGCGTCCGGGAGCGTGAGCGGCCAGAAGCTGTCTTGGCGCCACGGCAGCCCCACCTCGCCGTGGAGGATGTTGTCGCCGACCCTGAGGCACTCGAGCGCCGTGAGCCCCGACAGACTGGGCCGTTGGGGCTGCACAAAGTACGGGTCAAAGTCCTCCGGGAAGAGGATCAGCCGCCGCACCGCCGGCAGCAGCCTTGCCAGGTCAGCATGTTCAAAGCCAGGCTTCGTGAAGCGGAACACGGCGCGCGTCACGCGCGGGAAGGACGCGTCGCGCGGCTGGTCCGCCCAGTCGCCGGCGGGCAGCACGCTCAGGTCCCGCAGGAGGGGCATGCCCCTAGAAATCGGCAGGAGCTGCGGCGCATGCAGGCGTAGGCGCAGATGCGGGCTTGTTGCCGAATAAGGTGCAACGGGCTTGACCAAGGCGGGTTGACAGTAGGGCGTTCACATGCATCGCTTTGCAGCGCTGCAAACTAAGCATGCAACTGCACATCAGCAACGCTTGCCCATTTCTGCCTGAGAAACCGCGCGACGCCTTGCACGCACCTTGGTCCCTGCTGCGCGCCAATTGCCAGGCTGCCCTTCCCCTCAGCCCCGCGGCCCCGGACCGCATCCCCGGGTGTTTGCCATCGGCCCCTCGCCGCGGCCCCCTCGCCCCTGCATCCCGCTCCCCCCCCCCCCGCACCAGGTTGGGCGTCAGCTCCACCCCTCCCAGCCGCCGCAGCTGCGCCATCCTCAAGCCGCCAGGCGGGACCATCAGACGCCCGGGCTCCCACTGCGACGTGCCGTCCTCCATGTCGGGCACCATGCGCCCCACCAAGTCCAGGCGCGTCAGCGTCGCGCACGGCAGCGCCGCGATCGCGTCTGAGAGGCTGCCGCCGGGGTCGTCATCGTCGTCGCCAATGCCGTTGACCAGCCACCTTATCGTCAAGGACTCAAGAGGAAGCTTCCTGAGCTGCTGCGCTGTGGCGGGACCTGCTTCGAGGTCGGGCGCGTCGAGGTGCCGCAGCCCAGGGACCGCCTGTGGCAGCATGACCACTTCAGCAAATGAATCGATCACCCCGCAGCCCTGTGGCATCACGATGGCCAGCAACCCCGGCAGCCGCAGCAGCACGAGCGCGAGCACGGCTCTGTCGAGCGAAGTGTCGGCGCCCATTCCCAATCTCAAAGACGTCACGCGCGCGAGCGCAGCTGCATCGCGCGGTATCACGTATCCGAAGCAGTTGAGCAAGGCGCCAGCGTCATGACAGTTGCGCCCTCGGCAGCCATATAGCTTGATTTCGCGCAGCCGAACGAAGCGGTGCCACTTGATCCACCGATTCATGCTGCAGTTGCTTGGCGTGAGGGTGATGATGGCCGCGGCGTCGAGCGCGTACGACAGGCGTGCGAAGAGTGGGCATGCGAGGCGCGCGCTGCCAAGTGCCTTGCGGGGTAGCTGCTGCAGCACGCGCGACCAGAGCTCCGTGTTGAGCCCGTACATCAGTGCTGGGTTTGCGCAGTGCGCATGGGCAAGCTTGCCCGGATTTTTTTATTCTCAGGCGGTCGCCGAGTGACCCTGCAGGGACGAACCACGTTTCTGTGGAAACGAGCACTGTTCAATTCTCTTTAAAGGTGTGCTGCTCACAGTGCGAACGTCGGCCAGCTTCACATCGGCAGTGCTGCGCTGCTGATGTGGCGCCTTGCACTCGTTGGTCAATTGGCTTGATTGGCACGTAGGGCTCCAGCTGCATGGCTGGCTGGGTGAATACATGCACGAATCACCTATGTACAGGCTGTGTGGACAGCTGCACAACACCTGATATCATAATCCTGCACCGCAATATCGGGGCAGATCGTTGACTGTGTGCGGCATGGGCAAGGCACGCTGAGGCTCAGGGTGCCGATCATGACAGTGATTTCAGGTGTGACGTATCAAAAAGCCCGAGCCCGGATCTTGTGTAATTTATCTCGCAAGGGCTATGTGAAGATTATATCATACATGAATGGACAACAAGCAGACACGCCGCATCAACCCCGGTCTGTGGCACAAACAAGCAAAATTAGCACCGCGCACATTTCTTTGCTACAAATGCAACCGGAACCGCAGTCAGGCATGGCCCACCCTGTTGCAAGCACACAGGTGCACCGAAGACACACAGAGGCCGGCAACGCAGGCAAGTTCAGGAGCGTGTGGGAGGAGTGCCAGCCAGGGCATGGCGGTTGGAGGGGGCGGGCAGCGTTGCTCCAGCCCAACCAAGGACCCACAGAAATGTGCACGATGGCGGCAGTGCTGGTGTAATACTAATGCAGAAAACGCTCCACAGCCGAGCCACAGCCACGTGCCTATGAGCCGCTGCTGAGTCATGCAGCAGACGGGATAGCAGCAGACACGAAGATGGCAAGGGGGCAACACCCTGTCCTCCCAAGATCGGTCGTCGTTGAGTGCCAGGCATCTCTCGGTGCTTTCAACATAATAAGATATCTGGATCTCGACACCGTGGAGGTACTCATCCTTGATCAGTGGCATTATTGCAGGAAACAAGGGACGTGCGCCTGTAGTCAGGGGGCGCACTCCAAAACAGACAGAGCCCACACGAGCAAGCGGAGAGTGGCGGCGGCACACGGCCACACACAGGAAGGGCTGTCCACACCGATGCGTCCTTTGGGGGCCACCGGGACAAACAGGAGTAATAAGGCCTAGTGCACCCACAGGTTGTCAGATATGAAGTTGGTGGTGATGAAGGGAAGCTTGTGCATTCTTCATGCTTTTTTGGACGCTCGCTTGTGTGCTGTGCTATTGTTGCGGACTCTAAAGCGTTTTCAACGCGCAGCCAGCCCCCTTCACAGTGGGGCCCTTCGCGGCGTGATACCCTCTGCAGCTGCAAGCACCGCCGCAGCGCCCGCCGCGACCGTCGCGCCGAGCGCCCCAGCCCGCTGCGCCCACACCTCCCGCCTTGTCGCAACAAACGCGCTCGCGTCGTCGCCCTCCTCTATGCCAGCCTCCAGCCGCGACTCGCGCGGCGGCACCGGCGCGTCCCGCCCCACGGACGCCCGTTCAAGGGCAGCGCCGTCCTCGTCCCCACCGACGCCTGCGCGGCTCTCGCGCGGCCCGCCCGGGCCGATCCGCCCGTCCTTCGCGCCGTCGCCGTCGCCGCGGCCGCCGCTGCTGCCCGAGAGCTTCGCCGCGGAGGCCGCGAGCATCAGGCCGACCCTGCTCCTGGTGAGCAGCCGCCCCAGGCCTTCCAGGCTGCCGCCGCTTGACACGGACTGGCTGAGCACGCGCACCAGGGTGCGGGCGCCGGCAATCAAAATCAGTGCCACCAGGTAGGTCAAGATGGCCGCGTTGACGACCACCTGCGGGGACGGGATGTGCGCGCGCGCGCGCGTGTGTGTGTGTGTGTGTGTGTGTGTGTGCGTGCGTGGGTTTGTGTGTGTGTGTGTGTGTGTGTGTATGTGTGTGTGTGTGTGTGTGTGTGTGTGTG